CCAACCCTGGCGTGTTGGGGTCCTGGCAACGCTTTGTGGGCAGGCTGGGGTGGGAGCAGCCAGACTTCTGGCTAGTCTCTGTTTTTCTTGTGCCTTTGCCACAGAGAAGCAGGCAGCCACTGCAGCTAGGTGTCCCAGGTTCAAGCCTCAGCTTACCTAATTTTATTTTTCATTTATTTATTTTTTTTTTTGAGATAAGATCTCAGTCTCTTGCCCAGCCTAGAGAACAGTGGCACGATCACGGCTCACTGCAGCCTCATCTTCCCAGACTTCCCAGGCTTAGGTGATCCTTCCACCTCAGCTTCCCAGGTAGCTGGGATTACAGGCGCACACCACCACACCTGGCTGATTTTTTGTATTTTTTGCCAATGTTGGCCAGGCTGGTCTCAAGTGATCCACCTGCCTTGGCCTCCCAAAATGCTGGGATGACAGGCGTCAGCCACCATGCCCAGCCAGCTTCCCCAGCATTAGCAGCGTGACCCTGGGCAAATGACTTGCTCACTCAGCCTGTGTCCTCGTCTTCGAGGTGGGATGGTAACCTTGCAGGCCTCCGAGGTTGTGTGAGATGAAAGACAATACGGAAGTCAGTGCTCAGCAAGCAGAACTTCAGGGTTGAAGGTGTGGCCAGCATCTCCCTGTGGCGCTGTGGGGTCCCGTGAGGAAGAGAGCAGCATCATGGCCACCACTGAGGCTCCTGGGGTGGCTACATGTCCCCAACCCCCAGCCCACCCTCTCCCTGTTGTTTCTCTGCCTTCCCGGCCAGGACAAGCTGAGCAGCCAGGGCTTCGGGACTGACCTGCCACTGGTGGATCACCAAGTGGAGGAGCACAACATCTTCCACAACGAGGTCAAGGCTATCGGGCCCCACCTGGCCAAGGATGGGGACAAGGTGGGGCGTGTGCTGGTGTGGGGACCCGGGGATGGAGGGGGTCGCACCCGCATCCGGCCCCTGACCTGTGCCCTTGGCTCTGTCCTCAGGAGCAGAACAGCGAACTCCGGGCCAAGTACCAGAAACTGCTGGTGAGGAGCTCCCTGGGGGAAAAGCCTCCAGGGAAGGAAGAGGGTGGGAAGCTCGGAGTCGTGGGGGACAAGGATATATATATATATATATATTTTTTTTTTTTTTTGAGGAGTATCATTCTGTCACCAGGTTGGAGTGCAGTGGTGCCATCTTGGCTCAATGCATCCTGCCGGGTTCAAGCAATTCTCCTGCCTCAGCCTCCCAAGTAGCTGGGACTATAGGCATGAGCCACCACGTCCACCTAATTTTTGTATTTTTAGTAGAAACCGGATTACACTATGTTGGCCAGGATGGTCTCGATCTCCTGACCTTGATCCTCCTGCCTGAGCCTCCCAAAGTGCTGGGATTACAGGCATGAGCCACTGTGCCCGGCCAAGGATGTATTCTTCTAAAAATGACACAAGCAGCCGGGTGTGGTGGCTCACAACTGTAATCCTAGCGCTTTGGGAGGCAGAGGCAGGAGGATCACTTGAGCCCAGGAGTTTGTCTTGAGACCAGCCTGGGCAACACAGTGAGACTCCAGCTCTACAAAAAATTTAAATATTAGCTGGGCTTGGTGGCATGCCTGTGGTCCCAGCTACTTGGGAGGCTGAGGTGGGAGGATCACTTGAGCCCAGGAGGTGGAGGCAGCACTGAGCTGAGATCGTGCCACTCCACCCCAGCCTGGGAAACAGAGCAAGACACTGTCTTTAAAAAAAAAAAAAAGAAGAAGACAGGCGTGTAGTAAAACACTTCAGTCAGGAGAGGGGCTAAGGTGGGAAGAGACCTGCCCCAGCCTCAACCTGAGCGGCTGCCAGGTTTGCCCTGTTTGCTCAGGGAAAACGTAGTAGACCCCAGGGGGCACTGCCTGTCCTGCTTATTAAGTACCTGCTGTGTGCCACTTGCTTTTTTTTTTATACAGAAGCTTTCCATCTTCCTTCCCAAACCTTTAAAGAATGCATTATTTTAAAAATTGCATGAGTGTCATGCAAATGCTTCCTCGCCCGCTAGTGATTCAGGCATCTCAGAGAATAGAGAGGCAGCATCATGTAGCTGGTAGGAGCCGCGCTGCCTCTGCCCCTTAGTGTTGGTGGTGAGAGACTTAGCCTCTGGGAGCCTCAGTTTCCTCTTCTGTGAAATGGAGTGCCTACCTATTCCTGTCTCATAGGGTCGCTTTGAGGATGAAATGAGTTAATGCTGCAGAAGTCCTTAGCTTAGTGCTGGCTTAGGGAGGGCCCCATGTACCAAAATGCAAACATCCCTCCTTTCCCTTCCACCCCCACTTCTCAGATGTAAAGTGGTGGTTTCCTTCCAGCCCTCTATAAGATGATCATGGTAAACAGTAGAAGCTGTAGTTACTGATATTTATTGAGCACCAACTACATGCCAATCTCTGTGCCCTCTGAGGTTGGGGCTGTCATTATCCCCATTTATAGATGGGTAAACTCAGCCTTCACAAAACTGTCAGTTCCATAAGGGTTTTGTGTGTTTCATTCACTGCTGTATCCCAAGTGCCTGGAGCCACATCCAGAGCATAGTAGTTGCTCAGTAAATATTTGCTGAATGAATGAATGAGTTTTAGGGGGTCAGGTAACTTGTCCAAGGGGGCCTGGCCTGGAAATGGCTAAGCTGGTCTTGTCCTCAGGCCAGCAGGGCCCTGCAGGAGTAGGGGAGGGAAGCGAGCAGTGGTAGTGAGCTGAGAATGCAGCCCCGTCCTTCTGCTGCCCCTGCAGGCGGCATCACAGGCCCGGCAGCAGCATCTGAGTTCGCTGCAGGACTACATGCAGCGCTGTACCAACGAGCTGTACTGGCTGGACCAGCAGGCCAAGGGCCGCATGCAATACGACTGGAGCGACCGCAACCTCGACTACCCCAGCCGCCGGCGCCAGTATGAGGTGGTCATGGGGGACCTGGGGCTCCAGGGAGGAGGCAGCCCTGGAGGGAGCATGGGGCTGGCAGGCTGGGCACTGAGGCTCCTCCCCTGCCCCCCATTGCAGAATTTCATCAACCGGAACCTGGAGGCCAAAGAGGAGAGAATTAACAAGCTGCACAGCGAGGGCGACCAGCTGCTGGCCGCCGAGCACCCCGGGAGGAACTCCATTGAGGTGTGTGCACCCCGAGGCCACACATCTCCTCCAGGGTGACTTCCAGTCGGCTCTGCCTGCAGGACACCTGGAGCTCGGGCAGACCCCAGAGCTGGGAGTCCTGCAAGCTGCATCTTGTGTTCATCTGTCTCTAGCTCTGTCTGACTCTGTCTCCTCGGTTTATCCTGATCCGTTGACACGTCTGCCCTCAGCTCCTGTGGGATCTGTATTAGTTTCCTAGAGTTGCTGCAACAAGTTACCACAAACTTAGTGGCTTTAAACAACAGAAATGCATTCCCTCAGAGGTCTGTGGGCTGTACATCTGAAATCAAGGTGACCTCATTCCCTCTGGAAGCTCTAGGACAGGCGCCTTCCTTGCTCTCCCGGCTTCTGGAGGTTGTCAGCAGCCCTTGGCGTGTGGCTGCGTCAATCCAGGCCCTTCCTCCATCTTTGCACGGCCTTCTCTCCCCATGTCTCTCTGTGTCCTCTCTTATAAGGACACCGGTCACTGGATTTAGGGCTCACTCTAATTCCAGGATCCTTAACTGATGACATCTGAAAAGATCCTATTCCAAATAATGTCCCATCCTTTTTTTTTTTTTTTTTTTTAAGAAATGGAGTTTGATTGTTGTTGCCCAGGCTGGAGTGCAGTGGTACAGTGATCTCGGCTCACTGCAACCTCCACCTCCTGGGTTCAAGCGATTCTCCTGCCTCAGCCTCCCAAGTAACTCAGACTACAAGTGCACACCACCACACACGGCTATTTTTTTGTATTTTTAGTAGAGACAGGGTCTCATCATGTTGGCCAGGCTAGTCTCGAACTCCTGACCTCAGGTGATCCACCCACCTCAGTGTTCCAAAGTGTTGGGATTACAGGTGTGAGCCACCATGCGCGGCCAGGGTCATGGATTTGGTGGGACACTATCCAGTCCTTTGTGCAGATGCGCTGAAGGCACTGCTTAAGGCAGACGAAGGCTGCACTTGCCCCTCGTGTACTGCACAGCCTGGGCATCCGCACGTGACATCCCTATTTGGCTCCTTAATGTGACGCCTCTCTCCTCCTCCTATCCCTGAGCAGAAGCTGGCTACCTCTGTGGAAGCCACACCCAGGCAGATACCAAATGCCTCCCTCCCCCGCCATGCCCCGGTCCAATATCCCAGAAGTCCCTCCTTTGGCGTCTCCGGTACCTGCCCAGTGGTGACCAGCCCATTCTTCTGCTGGCAGGCACACATGGAGGCTGTGCACGCAGACTGGAAGGAGTACCTGAACCTGCTCATCTGTGAGGAGAGCCACCTCAAGTACATGGAGGACTACCACCAGGTACCTGCCTCTCCCAGGAGTGCCCCCAGCACCAGTGTACTACTCTCTGAGAGTGCTCAGTGCCTCCTTGGCTCACGCGTGGCCTCATGCTGCTTGATCCAGGAGCCTTGCAGGGCTGCCATCCCAGGTGCCCAGCGCTCATGCTTCTGATGGCATGTGCAGACATGTCCCGAGCCTGTTGGCCCCTGTCCATCCTCCTTGGGGACCGGGGCCAGAGTCTGACCCTCAGGAACATGGGGCCCAGGGATGAGTGTGTGGGGTTTTAATTTTTGCAAAACCTATAATATATATGCAGATAAATAAAACAAAATTTGCGTTTTTTTTTTTTAAGAGAATCTTGCCCTGTCACCCAGGCTAGAGTGCCATGGTGCCATCTCGGCTCACTGCAACCTCTGCCTCCTGAGATCAAGTGACTCTCCTGCCTCAGCCTTCTGAGCAGCTGGGATTACACGTGTCCACTACCACGCCCGGCTAATTTATATTTATATATATATATATATATATATTATATATATATTTTTTTTTTTTTTTGAGACAGAGTTTCGCCCTTGTTACCCAGGCTGGAGTGCAATAACGCGATCTCGGCTCACCACAACCTCCGCCTTCTGGGTTCAGGCAATTCTCCTGCCTCAGCCTCCTGAGTAGCTGTGATGACAGGCACGCGCCACCATGCCCAGCTAATTTCCTGCATCTTTAGTAGAGATGGGGTTTCACCATGTTGACCAGGATGGTCTCGATATCTTGACCTCATGATCCACCCGCCTCGGCCTCCCAAAGTGCTGTGATTACAGGCTTGAGCCACCGTGCCCGGCCTAATTTTTATATTTTTAGTAGAGATGGGGTTTCACCATGTTGGTCAGATTGGTCTCAAACGCCTGACCTCAGGTGATCCTCCCCTCTCAGCCTCCCAAAGTGCTGGGATTACAGGCAGGAGCCACTGTGCCCGGCCAATTTGCCATTTTTAAGTGTACAATTCAGTGGCATTCATTGTTTCACAATGCAACCATTACCACTAGCTATCCAACTCTTTCCACCACCCCAAACAGAAACCCTGGCCGGGCGTGGTGGCTCACGCCTGTAATCCCAGCACTTTGGGAGGTCGAGGCAGATGGATCACCAGAGGTCAGGAGTTCAAGACCAGCCTAGCCAATATGATGAAATGCCATCTCTACTAAAAATATAAAAGTTAGCCAGGCATGGTGGCGCATACCTGAAATCCCATCTACTTGGGAGGCTGAGGCAGGATAATCGCTTAAACCTGGGAGGCAGAGGTTGCAGTGAACCAAAATCCTGCCACTGCACTGCAGCCTGGGTGACAGAGAGAGACTCCAGCTCAAAAAAAAAAAAACCTGTACCCATTAGGCAGTAAGTCTCCATTCCTGCTCCCCAGCCCTGGTCACCTCTGTTCTGCTTGCTGTCTCTGTGGACCTGCCTATTCCAGATGTTTCACATCTGGAGTGAATGTGGAGGATAAGCAGAATCATGCAGTCTCCGCTCTTTTGTGTCACTGAGCATCATGTTTGCTGGGCTTATCCGTGTCGTAGCATTTTGAGTGCTTCGCTCCTTTTCATGGCTGAATCATATCCCATTGTACGGACAGACCAGTGTGTATCCACTCATCTGTGGCTGGATGCTTGTCTGTTTACAGAGGAATGAGAGTTCTTAACAAGCTGCGGGTGACTCTTAGGACTGAGGTGTCTGGGGGGAAGCTGGATGTGGGCAACCCCATGTCCTTCCTCGTTCACTGTCTTGAGCGGCACAGTGGGGGCTTCAGGTGCTGTTCATGGCTGCAGCCCAAGTGCTCAGCCTGTGGGGAGGGGGGATTGCTGACACACACCCCTCTGTACCCCCTTGGAGGTTCATGCAGGAGAGGGGCAAATTGCTGGGCCAGGGGTTAGCAGACAGTGACCCAAGAGTTCATAGACTGAAGAATGGGCAAGAGAATTTTTGAGAACATAAAGGGGAGGTTATTATCAAAACCTAGAAAGAAGGTATAAAGTCTGGGTGTTCCTAGTGCAGAGAGAGGAATGGAATCAAAGACACCCCAAAACTTACTTGTATATGAAAGGAAGCATATCACAGAGGTGTCATCTCGTGGATGGGTGGGAAAGGACCCGGCTTCTCCCCAAGGAGCTGGCTCGGGGAGGGTGGGGCTGTCTCCATGAAGGGAGCCTCAGGTTCAGCACAGCGTCCCATCTGAGGGATGAGCTTGAAGCCTCAGACAGAAGCCCAGGTGCTTCTAGTGGTTTCCTGGCTGTGACAGGGCCACATTCTCCCCTAGTTCCACAAAGACATGAAGGACGCTCAGGAGCTGCTGCGCAAGGTGGACTCGGACCTAAACCAGAAATACGGCCCCGACTTCAAGGACCGGTACCAGATTGAGCTGCTACTGCGGGAGCTGGATGTGAGCAATGGCCCAGGACCCCTGCTGGCTTGGGGCAGGGGAGCGGGGACCCCTCTATACCACTCCCGTCCTCAACCCTGGACAGGCCCCTCCACAGCCCCCGCCTATTGATCCCAGCCCCCACACAGCACCCTCCCACCAGGGGAAAGGCTGTTGGTCTCACCCGGGTCCCCTACCCCACTTTCTCCAGGACCAGGAGAAGGTGCTGGACAAGTATGAGGACGTGGTGCGGGGTCTGCAGAAGCGAGGCCAACAGGTGGTGCCCCTCAAGTACCGCCGGGAGACGCCACTCAAGCCCATCCCCGTGGAGGCACTCTGTGACTTTGAGGGGGAACAGGTGCGTGGGGCCAGCTTCTCTGTTCACGTCACTACAAAGTCTTTGGGGTAACATGGCTGGATGCGGGGCCTCAGGCAACGTTCTTGGGAACCTTTGCCTGTTTCCATGGTTGGTGTCATTCTGCCCACCCTTCCCCTCATGCAGGTACACTGACACCCCTATGTGACCCCCACCCCAGCTGGCCTGGCCTGTGTTCCACCTGCTTAGCAACCCCAGCCACTCCCCAGAAGTCCCAGGGCAGGTTCTCATTGGCCCACTGTGAGTCATGTGTCTGCCCTACACCAATCACTGTGGCCGGAGAATTCGTGTCCACCCTATACCAATGACTGTGGCTGGGGAATGCCAGTCTCATTGGCCAGATCCAAGTCACGTGTCCATCTGGAGCTTGGGAATGGAGAAGGAATAAGACCACAGGGACTGGGAATCAGGAGGGAAGGTTCTCCAAAGGGAAATGGAAGTGGGTTGCTGGACTGGCAGCCTCAACACCTGTGTCTCTCCTGCGTGCCCCTCCCAACTCGATGGGCAGAGTCCAGGCAAAGAGCCAGGGCTCCTCAGGTTCAAGAGTCGGGTGCAGGAGTGAGATGGCTACCGGGCTCCCAGGCCATCTCACTCCTCAGCCCCTGCCGGGATCCTCACTGTCTGGCCTGCCCCCGCTAGGGCTTGATATCGCGGGGCTACAGCTACACCCTGCAGAAGAACAACGGGGAGAGCTGGGAGCTCACAGACAGCACTGGGAACAGGCTGATCGCTCCTGCCGTCTGCTTTGTGATCCCCCCCACAGACCCCGAGGCCCTGGCTCTGGCTGACAGGTACAAGGGCAAAGGCGGGAGCCTGCACGGACCAGCCCTACTCCTGAGGCTTCTCAGGCCCCATTCACAGCCCTGGGCATTCGGACTCAGCCTGTGGGGAGGGGAGGAGCCGCTGACACCCTCCATCTACACTGCTTTGGAGGTTCATGCAAGGACGGGCAGATCGCTGGGCTGGCTGGCTTGCTGAACATGTCTGGCTCTGGGCTTCTTCCAGCAAGCAGTTTCTAAGAGCCTCTGGCTCCTGTCTGCTCCTTGCACCTGAAGACCCCAACCCCTCGACTGGAGGACTCAGCTAGGATAAGGGCTGCCTCCTCTTGGCTCCCAGGCACCTTCTTCCACTGCATGCTCTGCTTTTTATTTAGTGACTCATGTATCCATCAGTTTCATTGGGCCTGGGCTCCTTGAATTTCCTCTCCCCAGGACCTAGTTCAGTACCTGGTCCAAAGTAGTTGCCCAGGAACTCCCTGCTGAATAAGTGGATGATTCTGGGAATGGCATCATTTATTCAAGTATTTATTGAGCACCTGCTGTGTATGCTTCCTCAGAGGTAACATCTTGGTGAAGATGATTGGACTACTGTAGGTAGTTAGACTTCCTATGGAGAAGGAAGAGGGAAGGAGGGAGAGAGGAAGAAGGGTTCTGAGCCCATGAGCACAGAAAGGCCATTGCCACAGTGAGCACTTTCTGTCTGCATCTAAGAAGCCGTAGGCTCCTCTGGGGTGTCTGCCCAGCCAGGGTCTGCAGTCCTGCCTCTGTGGGTGCAGGGGGGTGGTGGGCTGCCCGGGTCCCCAGCTCATTCCTGTCCTCACAGCCTAGGCAGCCAGTACCGGAGTGTGCAGCAGAAGGCAGCCGGGAGTAAGCGCACGCTGCAGCGTCGGTATGAGGTGCTGAAGACCGAGAACCCCGGAGGTGGGTGCCAGGGCCACTTGACTGAGGCTCTGGGGGTGCAAGGGAGGAGGGGCTGGACCCAGGGTCTGCGCTGTGGATGGGACAGCAGGGGTCTGGCGCAGGGGGTGGGGTCAGGCAGGTGCTGGTTGCCTAGGTCCCTCCCTGGGCCTCATACCCCTGACTCACTGTCACACCTTCCTATGTCCTCCCTCTTTCCACAGATGCCTCTGACCTGCAGGGGCGCCAGCTGCTGGCTGGCTTGGACAAGGTGGCCAGTGACCTGGACCGGCAGGAGAAGGCCATCACAGGGGTCCTGCGGCCACCGCTGGAGCAAGGCCGGGCCGTGCAGGACAGTGCCGAGCGAGCCAAGGACCTCAAGGTACCTGCGGGTCAAGAGCACAGGCAGGGCCTGGGGATCCCGTGCTGGCCCCCTGGGGCCCCTATTCAAGGTCTCTTCCCCATGGGGTCCTAAGACACTCACTGCACGTGTCTGACAGAGACAGCCTGCTGCATGTAACTGAGTCCCCAGTTGTGGAGGTGGCAGGGCTGCTCCCATCACCTCCCCAGGTTCCTAACCAAGGACCAGGCCTCCAGGGAGGTGCCTGGGCTCTTTCCAGACCTGGGCACCTGGCACGGCATATGGACTCTGGAATTCTACAAGGCCGGGTCACTGGCTGGCTTGAGCACAGTCACGTTGGCTAAACCCCACACCTCAGTAGGATGGGCCTGCTCTGCTCACAGGCGGTGGCGAGGACAGAGTGAGCTGATGCCAGGGAGCACATGGCGGGGCCACCACCCCCACCTCCCTTCCTATACAAAGTCTCTTCCATCCTCCACACAGTCCTCTGAGGCAGGGAGTAGCACTCCAATTTTACAGAGGGCATCTGGGACTGGAGATGTGCCATAGCCCCTGAGGGGGCCTCCCAGTGAGGGCCGAATCAGGGCAAGAGGATGGTGGTCTCGGGTATAGCCTGACCCCACAAGTCTTTTCCTAAGTTGCTGGGAGTTGCCACACGCCTCCCCCAAACCCATGAGTGGGTGGAGTCATAGTACCCACCTCCCAGGGTTGCCACAAAGGTTAAACAGAAACGTCCACATGCTTATAACAGCACAGGCCGGCAGCTGCCCGGGTGTTGGGGTCACAGTAGTCCACTGGGAACCTGTAGCAGTTCCCTGGGACGCTCATGAAAAATGCAGCCCTCAGGCTGGCATCCAGACCCTGGGTCAGATCCTGAGTGTGCCAGGCCTCTCCAACTCCTTCTGCCGTCCCTGATATGGGAATCTGTGCCCACTCTGGGCACATCCTCAGGGAAGGGGCTGCCTGGCTGTGTCCAACACGGAAGGGCCCTGATCCCCACAGAACATCACCAACGAGCTGCTACAGATTGAGCCTGAGAAGACGCGGAGTGCGGCCGAGTGCGAAGCCTTCATCCAGGCCCTCCCTGGCAGCGGCACCACACCCCTGCTGAGGACCCGGGTGGAGGACACCAACCAGAAATACGAGCGCCTGGTGCAGCTGCTGGACTTGGCCCAGGAGAAGTGGGTGGCAGGCGGGCAGCATGGAGGTTGGGGTGGATTCGGGGAGCCAGGTGGGAACCTCCTAATGCCTAACCGGTATCCTCAGGGTTGACGTGGCCAACCGCCTGGAGAAGAGCCTGCAGCAGGGCTGGGAGTCGCTGGCCACACAGGAGAACCGTCTGAATCAGGACAACACTGTGCCTGAGAGCAGCCATGCCCTGGACAGCAAGGGGCAGGAGCTGGCAGTGAGTCTGGGGTCTGGGTCCTGGGGGTCCTGCTCTGAGCAGGTGAGGGCATCAGGCACATCCACCCGCCCTGTCTGGACAGCCGAGGACACAGGCGTCCAGTCTCTCTGGGTTTGGAATGCCCCGTGTGGCAAACTGGGAACTGTGAGTGGTGGCTGGCAGCACAAATTCGAGCTGTTCACGGGATCTGGGTGACCTATGGGGATTTTGGGTGCCAGCATTTTAGGATAGAATATCTGCACTAGCTGACGCAGTAGCGCATGCCTGTAATGCCAGCCCATCAGGAGGCTGAGGTGGGACTGCTTGAGCCCTGGAGTTCAAGTCCAGCCTGGACAACATAGCAACACCCTTCTGTTTTTTGTTGTTGTTGTTTTCTTTTCCTTTTTTGAAACAGTTTTATTTTTATTTTTTTAAATTTTTTATTGCATTTTAGGTTTGGGGGTACATGTGCAGAACATGCAAGACAGTTACATAGGTACACACATGGCAGTGTGTTTTGCTTTCTCCCCTTCACCCACATTTGGCATTTCTCCCCAGGTTATCCCTCCCCACCTCCCCCTCCCACTGGCCCTCCCCTTTTCCCCCCAATAGACCCCAGTGTTTAGTACTCCCCTCCCTGTGTCCATGTGTTCTCATTTTTCATCACCCTCCTATGAGTGAGAATATGCGGTGTTTCGTTTTCTGTTCTTGTGTCAGTTTGCTGAGGATGATGTTCTCCAGATTCATCCATGTCCCTACAAACGACACAAACTCGTCATTTCTGATTGCTGCATAATATTCCATGGTGTATATGTGCCACATTTTTCCAATCCAGTCTATTATCAATGGGCATTTGGTTTGATTCCAGGTCTTTGCTATTGTAAACAGTGCTGCAATGAACATTCGTGTACATGTGTCCTTATAGTAGAACGACTTATAGCCTTTTGGATATATACCCAGTAATGGGATTGCTGGGTCAAATGGAATTTCTATTTCTAAGGCCTTGAGGAATCGCCACACTGTCTTCCACAGTGGTTGAACGAAACAGTTTTTTTGTTTTGTTTTGTTTTTGCTCTTGTTGCCCAGGCTGGAGTGCAATGGCACAATCTTGGCTCACTGCAACCTCCCCATCCTGGGTTCAAGCAATTCTCCTGTCTCAGCCTTCTGAGTAGCTGAGATTACAGGTGCCCACCACAAGGCCCAGCTAACTTTTTTGTAATTTTAGTAGAGACGGGCCTTCACCATGTTGTTCAGGGTGCTCCTGAACTCCTGACCTCAGGTGATCCACCCGCTTTGGCCTCCCAAAGTGCTGGGATTACAGGTGTGAGCCACCGTGCCCAGCTAACACCCTATCTCTTGAAAAAAAAAAAAAAAAAAGGCCCCTAACAATCCAGGTTCCCACTATCTCTTGCTGAGCAGAGCTGGCATCCTGGGCTGTAGCCCATAGGGCAAGTCAGTGGGCAGAGAAGCAGCTGCCTCCTCGGCCTGCTTTCCCCTCATAGTTGCCACAGGCCAGCTTC